AGACTCTGTCTCAAAAAAAAAAAAAATTTAAATCTGTGCTAAGAAAAAATAGTTACACTGGCCACGTATGGTGGTTCACACCTGTAATCCCAGCACTTTGGGAAGCCAAAGTGAGAGGATGGCTTGAGTACAGGAATTTGAGACCAGCCTGGGCAACATAGTGAAACCCCATTTGTACAAAAAAAAAAAAGGACTAAACATATTCCCAAATAAAATACCGCAATTATACAATAATTCATTCAAGGATTCCTTTTAGGTATTAAGCTTCTCTAGTACATTTAAAGACTGTTTAGCCAGCCATGGTGGCTCACACCTGTAATCCTAGCACTTTGGGAGGCCAATGTGGGTGTATCCCTATAGGCCAGGAGTTCGAGACCAGCCTGGCCAACATGACAAAACCCCATCTCTACTAAAAATATGAAAAATTAGCTCAGTGTGGTGGTATGCTCCTGTAATCCCAGCTACTCAGGAGACTGAGGCAAGAGAATCGCTTGAACCCAGGAGGCACTGGTTGCAGTGAGCCAAGATCACACCACTGCATTTCAGCCTGCGCAACACAGTAAGACTCTGTCTCACAGTTAAAAAAAAAAAAAAAGACAATATTCCTTTGTGATAGTATTACTTACCCCATTTTACAACGAGGAAACTAACATAGTTCTTTTTTTTTTTTTTTTTTTTTTTAAAGATGGGGTTTTTCCATGTTGGCCAGGCTGGTCTTGAACTCCTGACCTCAGGTGATCCACCCACCTTGGCCTCTCAAAGTGCTAGGATTACAGGCATGAGCCACCGCACCCAGCCGAAACTAACATAGTTATACTACTGTAAACAATACGTCCATTTGAAGTATTGTATACTAATCACATTTATTAAAGAGCCTTGGCTGGGCACAGTGGCTCATGCCTGTAATCCCAGCACTTTGGGAAGCCAAGGCAGGTGGATCACCTGAGAACAGATGATCCTGGGAGGTGGAGTTTGCAGTGAGCCGAGATCATGCCACTGCACTCCAGCCTGGGCAACAGAATGAGACTTCATCTCAAAAAAAAAAAAAAAAAAAAAAACAAAAAAAAAAAAAAAAAAAACGAAAACCCATCACTATGCAAGCACATCGCAAAAGGGCTTCAATTCAGGTGACTGATGGTGTCAGCAAGGCTGTTGTCGTTAGTGAAGACTGCAGTCTATGAATGTATGCTCAGGTTTGGTCCTGGGGGTGGCATTCCTTTTCTTGGGAAGAGATGATCTTCTCGAGTTGAAGAGTTACTGCCATTGCAGAAAGGCAAAGTTACTGACACAGCAGAATTTGGGAACTAAATCATGGTTCCCAAAAGAGCTAGAGAGGAAGGATGAAGTAGGAGTGTGGATAGGGGAGTCTAAGGTAAGTAGAACCTTCTTCTAGAGGAAGTCAAATTGCCTAACTCAGGCTAAGAAAGGGGCTCCAGGATTTGGGAAGGAAATCTGGAAATGGCTCAAATAGGGCTACCTAATAACATAAATTCTAGGAACCAAGAGTCCAGATTTTTTTTTTTTTTTTTAGATGGAATTGCTCTTGTTGCCCAGGCTGGAGTGCAATGGTGCCATCTTGGCTCACCAAAACCTCTGCCTCCCAGGTTCAAGTGATTCTCCTGCCTCCAGCCTCCCGAGTAGCTGGGATTACAGGCATGTGCCACCACACCCGGCTCATTTTGTATTTTTGGTAGAGACAGGGTTTCTCCATGTTGGTCAGGCTGGTCTTGAACTGCTGGCCTCAGGTGATTCACCTGCCTTGGCATCTCAAAGGGCTGGGACTGCAAGTGTGAGCCCTTGCGCCTGGCCAAGAGTCCAAATCTAACATAACTATACCCTTGAGGTCCTTGACAATTTTGGTTGCAGCACATTTCAGACTACACAAAAATTTCCCAAGGAGGATTTCCCAGGGAGGAACTATCCTGGAGTAAGGGATCTGCTGCACCTCCAGGAAAGTGATCAATTATACTAGGAAAATTGTCTGAAAATGCAGGCGCTAGGCTAGTGTATGACTTTATGTCTCAGAGAGGACTAGTTCCTCAAGAGTACTGCCCAAGGTGAATCACAACCTCATGCCTATTTTCTTTTCTTTACTTTTCTTTGAGACAGTCTCACTCCATCACCAGGTGCCAGGCTGGAGTGCAGTGGCATGATCTTGGCTCACTGCAACCTCCACCTCCTGGGTTCAAGCAATTCTCCTGCTTCAGCCTCCCGAGTAGCTGGGACTACAGGTGTGTGCCACCATACCCAGCTAATTTTTGTATTTTTAGTAGAGACGGGGTTTCACCATGTTGGCCAGGATGGTCTCCATCTCTTGACCTAGTGATCCACCCACCTCGGCCTTCCCAAAATGCTGAGATTACAGGTGTGAGCCACCACGACCCGCCATGCCTATTTTCAGAATTCAACCTTTCCTTTGTCCTTTCCACCTCTTTGATAACACTAAAACCTGGATGATATAACTCAACTACTAATTCCACATTTCATGCTTGACTTTTACTATTTTTATAATCAATACTCTCCACCATGGTCTTACCTTTAATGCTTTTCATGAAATGGGATAAAATGCTACCACTAATGGGTGTCAGAACCACCTGAACTGAATATTAATTTTCCAGATGTTTGAATTAACACTGGTCCTCCTTCCTTAATATGGACAGAGGTGTGAAAGAACCTTCATATGAAGTGGCTTTCAATCTTGAATATTCACGTTTATTGTCCATTTATTACTTCAGAATGACTGGTTTTGTTTTGTATTTAGGAGTGGAGGGAGCTTGGAAATTGAGAAAGGGAAGAGAACAAGGCAGAAACCAAACAGGGACATGGCCAAGACATGACAGTTGTACAGTTGACTCTCAAGCCTTTGTGGAAACCACATGGCAGGTCTGGGCATTTACCCTTTGCCAGGTAGACTCCAATCCTGCACTGGATTCAGCACTGGGTCCCATCTGATGGAAACCTGGAGAAGCCCATGCATGAATCAGCATTCTCCAGTGGAGAGACTGCCTGTGTTGCTGACTCTGCCTTGCTCTTCAAGCAGAAGCAGCAGAAGAAACTGAAGACTTTTTCTCTAGAATAGTAAGCCCAATTACTTGAAAATGAAGCAGTACAATAAATCTAGCCAAAAGTGGTCTTTCGTATATCAGTTTAGGTATATGCCTTTTCCAGGAAGATCTCCCTTATTTGCTGGCCCCACAGACACACCCCTAAGTGGGGTTAGGCACTTCATGCTTTGTTCTGTCAGCTCCTAGCCAATAGCCCTATCACAGCACTCACCCCAATATGATCTGTTTCATACTCAGTAGAGGAGAGTTGCTTAACTGTTTGTGCTTTGGCAGTCTGCTGAAACCTATGAACCAATTCTTAAATAATGTTTTTCAATGCATAAAGTAAAATACATAGGATTACAAAGGAAACCAATTATAATGAAATGTGTAGTTTTGGTTTTTTGAGCTGGGGATCTTGCTCTGTTGCCTAGGAGGGAGTACAGTGGCAGTCATAGCTCACTACAGCCTTGAACTCCTAGGCCCAAGCAAAATCCTCCTGCCTCAGCATTCTGAATAATTGTGTCTACAAGTGCAACCCACAACACTTGACTAATTTTTACATTTTTTTGTAGCGATGGGGGGCTTGCTATGTTGACCAGGCTAGTCTTGAACTCCTGGCCTCAAGAAAGTCTGCCTTAGCCTCCAAAAGTGCTGGGATTCTAGGTGTAAGCCACTGTGCCTGGCTGAAATATGTGTTTCTTAACTCCAGACATCTGGAGTATAAATTCCTTGAGTGCAAGGAATATGTCTTCATCTCTCTACTTTCAGTGCCTAGCACAAAGCCTGGCACAGAGATGGTTCTTAAAAATGTTTATTCAATGCATGAATAGAAAGATAAATGGCTACTACCAAGTCAGACTAAGGAATGATTCATTGCAACTGCTTATGCACATACCAATGGCTTGCATATGTCTTACCCCATCTAGGATCATCTAGACCAGGGCTGTAAGGGAACTCATATTCAACAGCAGGTACCATAATATCTAACAATAATGACAGGCTATTGGAAGACCAGGAAAACAACAAAGCTCATGTATTTCACCAGCTGGAAAATTCATCTAGTAAACAGGCTGTTTGAGGAAATCTCTTGAGGAAGCATGATGCACACACTACCTTAAAACCCTACTAATAACTCTTATGGAGGAAAGAAGGGAACCTGAGCTAGTATGTTGGTATTTGCGAGGGCTCTTCTGTCCTGAATTGGTCCTCTCATCTCTGGGAAAGAGAAAAGTGTCCCTAAAAACCATAACAGGGATGAGATGTGCCTTCCTAGATTCAAGCAGACTGTCTTAGACGGCAATTTTGCTTTTGTTTATGTGCCAACAGAAAACCTAAACAAGTAGGAAATAAAAGCGACCTCCCTCACTAAAGATATATTAAGGGCCAAATATGTTTTAAATTCATTGCTAAGTCTCTTAGACCTTTTGAAAAGAAAAATAAAACCCCAGACTATTCAAAAATTAAAATTGACAACTGTATGGAGTTCACAAATCTCATTCTTAAGAGTGATCTTCAGGTAAGGTGTGGTGGCTCACGCCTGTAATTCCAGCACTTTGGGAGGCCACAGTGGGCGGATCACTTGAGGCCACGAGTTCAAGGCCAGGCTGGTGAAACCCCATCTCTACTAAAAATACAAAAATTAGCCAGGCGTGGTGGCAGCCACCTGTAATCCCAGCTACTCAGGAGGCTGAGGCAGAATCGCTTGAACCGGGGAGGCAGAGGCTGCAGTGAGCCAAGATCACACCATTGCACTCCAGCCTGGGTGGCAGAGCGAGACTGTCTCAAAAAAAAAAAAAAAAAAAAAAAAACTG